CATATCTGGGCCTGAGCTTCCTGGTGGCCAAAGGGAAAAGGCACACAGACACACACACACACACACACACACACACACACACACACACACTCACCTCATTAAACAATGCATGAACTTTGGTTGATTCATTCAACCAATGTGTATCAGCCCCGGTTTCTTTCATTCTGCTCAGTAGGGGAAACCAAGTTGGAACCTAAAGAACTATCCTTTGTAGGCATCTATGGGGGTCCTGAGAGTTGCAGAGGTGACCTTGTCTTTGATGGCTGTGTGCACATTCATCTCTAGGGTCCTGTACCTTCTTCTACTACCAGTGAAGATGAGAAAGGGATGCAGAAAAGTGGAACCAGATCCCTTAGATCTGAGTGTCCACACCATGTCAGGCCTGGCCCAGGCACTTGGAACCCTGTGGCCCTGACTCTTGAGTATGTGGTGGTGGTGAGGGAAAACTGGGGCTGGAGTCTGCTTTCTTCCCAAATCCTGTTGCTTCCCATTCCCAGAATGTTCTGGTTGTGTTGCTGGCAGGGATGATCTGGGCAAAATGACTTATCTGACCATGTGCATCAAGGAGAGCTTCCGCCTCTACCCACCTGTGCCCCAGGTGTACCGCCAGCTCAGCAAGCCTGTCACCTTTGTGGATGGCCGGTCTCTACCTGCAGGTGGGATGGGTGGATTTGGGGGTGGAAATGGAGTCCTCTGCATGCTCCTCTGGCACCCTCTGTGCCTTTAGTCAAATCTTTGCACTTTTGGGGAAGAGCTCAGGCTTTGCGTTCAGAGAGCCCTGGGTCTCAATCCCAGTCCCACAACATATTGATCAATTCTTCTACCTCTGAGCCTCCATTTCCACTTCTGTAAAATGGGGGATGAGAAGAGTATCTATGTTTCAAGGCTGCTGTCAGGATTAAAGAGACAATGTCCACCAAGGTTGCCATGTACCACCATGCAGATCATGCCCTGAAGATCACTAGAGAGCATCACTCACATAGACTATGATGCTGTGCAGTGTACAACCTGCACAACTGTATGTGGTAGCTTCATAAAGAGTGTTAAGCCTGTACCTGGTTCCTAGTAAGCACCTGGTGAATGATAGCTGTTACTGTTGGCAGTAATATTATGAATAATAATTTCCCAAGAGTCAGTCAGCTGAAAAGGTTTAATAGTTCCTTCCTGTTCTACCTCATGATGGAGGGGTTCATTCTCCCTTTATTCATTTCACAAATGTCTGTCAGGTGCTGCACCCAGTGCTGGGGTTACAGGAACTGGGCATGATAATCATCAAAGTACTGTGATGAGTCGGGTGTGGTCCTGAACTCTCTGTCACTGGCAGTGGTCAGCAGGGGCTGGCACCCCAGGGGGCACTAGGGGAACTCTGACCTTATGTGGAGGTAGGCCTGGCTTCCTAGGACTACTTGGTCACCAACCTCTGTTCTGCCCACAGGAAGCCTGATCTCTATGCACATCTATGCCCTCCATAGGAACAGTGCTGTATGGCCCGACCCTGAGGTACCCTTTCCATGGGCTGGGATATCAGACAGGGTGGGGGACTGGGAGGGTCACCGTCTGCCAGAACCTGGTGAGTGTTTAAGCAAGGCCTGTCTCCTCAGGTCTTTGACCCTCTGCGCTTTTCCACTGAGAATGCGTCCAAACGCCATCCCTTTGCCTTTATGCCCTTCTCTGCTGGGCCCAGGTATGGAGAGACCCAGTATCCCAGGCCCTCAGGACTGGGGAGGAGAGGGTGGATGACATCACAGGGGAGGCACTATTAGAAGGTACGCTGAATAAGGGGGAATCATGCTGGGTTTGTGGTGATTCTAATGCAGGAGCCTTCTTCTTGCAATTATCTTATTCCTGTCCCTGGGAAGTAGGTGGGATAGGTGAGTCATTCCAAGAGAGACCCCTATTCCAGACCCCCACCATGTGAATCTACCTAGTCTGGGACCCTCACTATGCTCTCAAGGTTTGTTTCATAAGCCCAGGTCAACCAATCTATCAGCAAGTTATTCATCCAAAAACAGTAATTGACTTTTGTTGGCTGCTAAGAGCACTGAATGCCGTCACTCTGGACGCTCCATTGCACAATGACTCTTTGTGCTGCTTGCTACAGGAACTGCATCGGGCAGCAGTTTGCCATGAGTGAGATGAAGGTGGTTACAGCCATGTGCTTGCTCCACTTTGAGTTCTCTCTGGACCCCTCACGGCTGCCCATCAAGATGCTCCAGCTTGTCCTGCGCTCCAAGAATGGCATCCACCTCCACCTGAAGCCACTGGGCCCTGGGTCTGGGAAGTAGCTCTGATGAGAATGGGGCCCCGGATGGCTCAGGCTGTGACCTCTCCCTGGGCAGCACCCTCCCCGGGCTGGATGTAGAGGAGTTGGGGCACCCTGCCTTCAGAAGGCTTGTAGTTTAGAAGGGGACTAGGCATTACCATAGACAACTCCTAGAGGACAGTGCTATGTACACATGTGTGTCTATAAATGTTTATCATTCATTTATTCAACAAACATTTGGTGAGCACCTATTTGGTTCAAGAAACTTCATTTATCTCCTGTAACTGGCAAACTTAAAAATGCAGCAGAAACTTACATTCCAACCTTAGAGAGACTCATAGTGAACACAAGGAAAGTTTTGCCCTGAGATTCGTGGTTATGACTGGATACCACTGAATAGAAGAATGGCTTAGGGGATTGCCCCTTCACTGAGATGTGTTTCTTTGTTTAACTTTGTATGTGTGTATTTCGAATATAACAGACATAAGAAAAAATTGCCTAAACGAAGACTGTACAAAATAATAAATAATTCTGAAGCAAACTCTCTTGTAACCATCATTGAAGTCAAGAAATATGGGATATGGTATCACTGGTGTGTCTTCCGCTCCTCCTGAGATGTGTCTCTGTGGCACCCCTGCCGTTGTCAGTGTCTGTGTCTCACAGTCACGTGGTGCTCCAGGCATCCAGGGTTCAGCTGGGGAAGGTGGCCAAGTGGCATTACAGGGGGGCTTCCTGGAGGAAAGGAACCCTTCTCCTCCACTTGAATCAGCTTAAATCAGGCCTTGAGAAGGCCTGGGAGGCTGGATGGGAGGGGGCCATTTTCCCACTTCTGTATGAAGGCAAGGAACCTGTAAGACACTCATCTGGGAGGAGCTTGAGCTGAGGCCTCTGATTCTGGCCTCTTTGACCAAGCCTTCCTCATGAGTACTGACACTCTCTGAGAGTGTGTGTCAGTGTGAAAAGGAGCTAAGAGCTTTGGTGTGAGAAGCGATCGACAGGCTCCCTGTGGGAGGGAGATAGGAGGCTGGGGACTGGTGGGCACCAAAGATGGATTCCATTTAATTCTTCCGGTTCTCTAAGCACACTCTGCTGCCTCCTGTGATCCTGGGCATGCATGTGGGTTGAATGTGGAGTGTGCAGTGGGCACATACAGGTGTCGCTGTGCCTGAGTGTGTCTATATGTTGTCGTGGAATGGGCACAGATGTGCACTCACCCTGAATCTTGCCCATTGCGTGGATTGAGCAGGGTCACTTTTTGGTCACTCATTCATGCCCTGTGGGATCCTGTGGTTAGAGCACCTCTCCATGGCTGAACAACCAGAATTCTGAGCCCCCACTGTCCTTTGTTGTCTGATCATGGCCAGCACAAGCCCTCGTGTGCCACCTGATACTAGGTGGACATCCTGTGCAGGAAGTTCCCAGCCCACTCTTCTGTCCCAGCCCTCTCCCTCTGACTCCAGTCAGGCACTGACTGTCCAGGCTGCTCCTCTCCTGCCTCCTCTCAGAGCAGGGCTAAAGGAGCCCAGTGATTTGGGAGGTCAGGGGACAGGGAGGGAGGCTCTGCCTACAGCCACCAATTTCGGGAGAAGTCCTGTCAGAGAAGCAGAAAAAGATGTCACATCTTAGTAAAAAGAAGGTCTGGCTATGGCATTCAGGGACCTGGGCTAAAAATGGGGGACAGCTGTGCTCAGATCCAGCAAGAGAAGCAAGGTCTAGATGGAGAGAGGCTGGCACAGCAGGGACACCAGTCCAGTGAAGCTGTGAGAAGTAGGGGACTGGGTGTTGAAACAGCCCCCAGGCAGTCACCAAGTGTGGACAGGGTTGAGGATGTCCCTGTTCACTCAGGGTGGCCAGCTAGAGGCAGGAAACCACCACCAGACTGTGGTGTGGGGGAGGAAGTGCTTGGGGTCCGACATCCTCTCCACTGGCCAGACTCATTTGTCTACCGGGGCTCCTCCCAGACCTTACAGGACAGCTGCCCACTCCGTGAGCTTCCTGAAGAGCCTGCAGACCTCATGTGTGAGGGAGACTGACAGGTGCCTGGTGATGTGGCCAGGCTGGGCTCCCTTTTCATGTCTCATTGCGGGTATGAGAGGCTGGGTCCTTGAGGTGCTCATGCCAGACCAGGCCTATGAGGCTTTCCTGCTCAGCTCACAACAGCCCTGCTGGTTGGGATGTGGTGTGTCGCTGCTCAGACTCTAGTTGCTAACTTGATTCTCAATGTGGCAGTGTTGGGAGTCTGGGCCTCGTGGGCAGTGTTTGGGTCATGGGGGTGGATCTCTCATGAATAGATTAATGTCCCCCTGCAGAGGCATATGAGTTTTTGCTCTAACTGGAAGGGATTAGTTCCTGAGAATGTGGGTTTTGAAAGGAGCCTGGCTTCCTCAGTCTTTCGTGCTTCCTCTCTCACTCTGTGAGAGTCCTGGGTTGCAGTTTTGCTTATTGTGCTTGTTTTGTGTTGGTTGGCCTTCAGCCAGGAGGTGGCGCTTTAAAGAGAGCATCACCAGTGGCAGTATAGGGAGGATCAGGTGGTGGGAGGGGCCATAGAGCTCCCAAGAGATTATGTCTTTTGTCTTTGGCTACAAAGGTGAGTAGATAAAAACTTACCAGGTGGGTGCAGGGTTAGGCATGTCTGAACTCAGACTCTCCTTGGGTGAAGCTTGCTGCAGCAGCTGTGGGGGATGGGAGTGTGGTTCTCAGGCCAATAGAATTATGTTTCCAGGGGGATTATGGCTGCCTCTGCTGTGTCATGTAGGTTACCAGGGAAGGAGGGAAAGCCATAATTACAGGCCTCACTTAGCTCCCATGCAGCCCAAAAAGCTTGTCTCATTCCCATTATGCTTCACCAACAGCACTGAGTTTATTTCCAGGCAGTGGGTGAGCAGGGCTGAGAAGTTGCCCCAGGTTACCAGCCTCCTGGCTGAGAAAGCAAGCAGGGCTTTCAGGTTTCAAGCTTCCTCATCTGCTGTGGCTTCTGTGCTGTGTCTGTACTCCCGATTTACCCCCTCCCCCAGTTCTGTCCAGGAAACTTCATGTTCAGTCAAATTTATTACGAAGTTCAGCTGGAAATTTCCTTCTTTGTGTGGTCTTTTCCCAGTTCCTCTGGCTGCTCTCCCTAGGGACCCCTATGAGACAAAGTCAGAAATGGCTTCCTTGGGGACAGAGAGTGCCCGCTGCTTCTTCTACCGCTGTATTTCACTTGGCTGTCTAAATTCATCCCAGCTCCAGGTAAGGTCAAATCCTACTCCCTCGATCTGGACTTTCAGTTTTCCCAGTGAGGGTATGTGTTCAGGGGCAGAGGAGTCCCCTTTCACACTTTAGACACTCACAGGTTTTTGACTGTTTCCTAGGGTCTTGCAACAGCAGTCTGCTTCCTTTGACGGGTCTGGGGATTCTGTCGGCTTTCCAGGTGTATCCTGCACTAGTTATCGGAGCAAAAATTCATGATGTGAGTCTCCATAGGCTACTCTGTCTGTCTGAGTGGGAGCTGCAAGTTAGTCCTGTCTCCTGTTTGCCATTTTTCCCCCAATCGGTGTATATTAACTTTTAAAAATTAGTGAAACATACAGAACATAAAATAGGACACTTTAACAAATTTTAATTGTACAGTTCCATGGCATTAATTACATTCACAATGTTTTACAACCATCATCACTACCTATGTTCAAAACCTTTTCATCATGCTAAGAGGAACTCTGTAACCTTTAAGGAATTACTCTGCCTGCCCTCAGTACCTAGTAATCTCTAATCTACTTTCTGTCTTTATGTTTGCATATTCTACTACCTGTAAGTGGAATAATACAATATATTTCCTTTTATGTCTGGCTAATTTCACTCAGCACACTGTTATAATGATCATTCCTGCTGTAGCATGTATCAGAAATTCATTCCTTTTTATGATTGAATAATATTCCATTGTATGTATATACCACATTTTGTGTACCCATTCATCTGTTGAGGGATACTTGGTATCTTTCTGCCTAATAACTATTGCTAATAATGCTGCCATGAACACTGGCTTAGAAGTATCTATTCAAGTCATTTTTTCCAAGTCCCTTGTTTATAGACACAGGAGTGGAATTGCTGGATCCTATGGTAATTGTGTTTTTATCTTTTAGAGGAACCACAAATCTTCTGTGTCCCCCTCACCCCTCTATCCACTGGAACCTGTAGTCTTCTAATTGTATTCCAGAAATGTCGTTCCTTGCCATCCCTCAGTCTTCTCACTTGGCCTTTCTGGGTCTCTGTTTGCCCTCCCTCCACACTGAAGCCACAGCCCAGCTTAGACCTTCCCACACTCTTCATCAGGGAAGACAGCATCTCAGTGTTCCAGCAGGCAGCCAAGCCCTCCGTGGGCTGATGCCTCACCCACATTTCACTTGTCCAGCCCACGTCCTAGCCCTGTTCATGTGGAGACGGCTGAGAACATCCTCCCCTCACCTCTGCCTGCCACATCCTCAAGGCTAAGGCCAGAGCCCAGGTGCCTCTCACGCTCTGCTGGCTGTCTCCCTCCCTTCCTCGGCCCCCAGGCAGCATTTGTGATTTATCCACAGACAGTTACAGACCAGTGCCTAGGATAGTGCCAGAAACAGAGCTGCTCAGTGAGTGAATAAGTGAGTGAAAGGATGAATGAGGAGCGAAATATCTGGAGCATAGAATGTGTTTCTGTGCAACACATTTTCATCCTTGACTGTGAAGTCTTCAAGGCAGGGACAGTATCATTTACCTCTGTTTTCTCATCACCGTGCACAGGACTTGACCCACAGAGGTAGACTTAATAAATACTTTTATATTTGCATGAAGTTAATTAAGTTTTTAAAATGAACAAAACAGAATGGAATTCACTGAGAGTAAATATTCGTTCTGAGCTAGAAATGGAGCTTAGGGATGCTCTCCTATCCTCTAGTGGCAGCGACATGACTGGCAGCCAGTGTTTAGGAAGAAGTTCTCATTCTGGGATGAAGCAGTGCTGGAGAAGGTGTATCTGGAAGAAACATTTGCTTAAAGCCTGTTGCATGAAAGTTTATTCACTATTTGAAGAATTCACAGAACTATTCCTTCAGAAAAAGCTTGTTTCTACTACTATTTACAACATTTTTGGCATTTGTATTTCACAGGACATTTCCTGCAGCTTTTCAGATTTCCACAGCAGCCATTTTGGAGTGTACCTGTCCAGCTCAACAGCTATTTCAGGTGTGTTTCATATTTTACAGACTGGAAACCTTCAAATGCTGTGTCACACAATAAATATTGAGCTTTTCTTTCCAAGGCAGTCTATTGTCCACATTTGTATGTTTTTTGTCAATATTGTGCTATGTGGAGTGTGGGACCATGGTATCGAGATCCCATTGCACGTAAAGAATTTTGGCAACTTGGAAAGTAGATGTTAATACGTGAACATTATACTGCAGCAAAAATTTAATTGGGCAAGACAAGAAAATGTGGGAGATGACACACATTGATGTAAAACTTTCTATAAAGGCTTACTACTACCTTTCACTTCTATGGCTTGAAAGGTAGGACCAGTAAGCCGAGTGAATTCTAAATACATGCAAAGCTTTGAATTATTCAACATGGCTGACTATTGAGTTAAGTAGAAAAGGTGGTGTGCTGCATTGAGAATGAGTGGGGAGAGACAAACTGACTCTGTAAAATTCCTGATGATTGAGAGAAGCGCACATCTGAAGTTCAATGTACTGAAGAATACCTAATTCTGGAGTGTCATACTCCTCACATGAGGAAAACACCTGAATACACTCATGTTTGAAACACCCACTGACAGTGGATTTTGACTGGACATTGGGAAAGAGCAGAGGGATCAGTGTCTTCATGGTGTGCCTGAAATACCAACTTGCTTTTGTGCACAGAGACACCGACACGAGGTTTCCTGTCCACAAACAACCAATATACAAGGACATAAGTGAAGATGCTGCCTATGAACACTGGGGTCACAAATGTTGGCTGTGAGCCTGGAGACTCCCCCTATCTTCCCACCACCACTGTCACAAATTGGTGCCTCACCTTGATCCTCCTGAGAAGGGCAGGAAAGCACAGCTGTGTTGAGCAGAACCCGATGCAAAGTGGGAAGGGTCAAACATCTGCAGAGAGATCATCAGGGCCAGGACAGGAAGGGGTCCAGCCCCTGCTTCCCACCCAGGAGGGGACAGGATGCCCAGAGTTGGGAGCAGAAGAAGGTGTCGGGTCTGAGAGATCATCCCTTCCCCTCCTCACAGTGCCCTCTTACCTCTGGGTTTGGCCATGCCTTTGGGTTGTGGTGAAGGCCATAAATGGAAAGCACAACTGTGATACCTGTGGGGTGCATAAGAAGTAAAGAGAAGAGTGATTGTACCCATGGGTGGCCTGGTCCCTTAGCCAGCTGGGGAGAATGGTTTCCTCAAGTCATCACTTTGAGAGGGATGATCTTGACACTATGCATGTGGGTTGGGCTTGGCTAAGCATGTGTGGTCAGATGATGGGCAGAAAACCACGAATCTAGGGATGAGAAGCAAGAAAGCATCGGTGCATTACTGCTTGGAGTAAGTTGAGTGACAATTCACATTTATCAGATGCTGTTTATTAACTGTTGGGGAATATACATGAACTCACTCAATACTTAGAACAAACCTCTGAGGAAGACATTCTTTTATTCCCAAATTTCAGATGAGATATGAGTCCCAGAGAAGCTGGTTGTCTTGCCCATGGTAACCAAGCTAGGATATAGTGGGACTAGGACATGACCTGGTGGAGGTTGAGCCTAGGTGCCTCTGATCACCTCAGGAGTCTTAGATCTGGTCATCAGCTGCTCTCTGCCATCAACCTGAGGGCTCCTCAGAAACTGGCCAACAGCTAACTCATGACACGGGATTCCTGATCTCCCTCCTTTGTGTTGACCCTATCAGGAAAGGATCACATGCCCCCTGCCCCTGTCTGATACTCTCTCCAGCTCTCTACTTCTCAGGGAATAGAATTTTAAGTATTTTTGTTTTGTTTTGTTTTGTTTTCAAGGCTAACATTTAGTTATTGAACTTTTGGTGTGTTCAGGCTCTGGGCCAGACATTCAAATTCTTCTTTCTAAAGACAAAGTATATAACATTTTGACAAGCAAAGGGAATCCCAGAGATATTCAGAACTGCTAAAGCACAGGTGCATTTCTGACCCTCCACATGTCCCTGTGGAAAGCTTAGGTGAGTGGGCGGGGGAAGTTCATACCTCTGGGCAAGAGCACCCATCAGGGAAGGTGATGGGAGGCTGAGCTCTCTGCCAGTGCCTGGCACTGGTTGGTAGAGTTTCAATGCTTCCTTGATGCACATGGTGGTGTAGGGCATCTGGTCCAGGTGGTCCCTGAAATAAAGCCCATCCTGAAGAGGGGCAGGGCCGGGGCAGACCAGGGGCTTTTCCCTACAAAGAGGGCAGGGCTCCCCATCTCTTGATTCCTCACTCACCAGGTGATTGAGGCTCCATCCCCAAGGAGGCCCTGGATCTCCTCCTGGCACCTCTGCTGATGCTTGGGGTGTGTAGCCAGAGCATAGAGGATCCAGGAGATGCCGCTGGCTGTGGTGTTGTGGTCCTCAAACGTGAATGTGTCCACCTCAGCACAGAGGTCCTTGTTTGACAAGCTGCTCCCATTCTCCATCTGGGGAGGCCGAGGTGAGAGTGCAGGGTTGGTGTCTTGCTCTACGCTTCTTGGAAAAGCCTCTGGGCTCTCCTACACTCACTTTGGCCAAGAGGAGGATGTCCAGGAAGTCCAAGTGCCTCTTCCTCCTGACCTTCTCCAACTCCCCCTCCTCCTGCAGGTGAGCCTTCCTCAGCTGGATCACTCGGTCTGACCCAAAATAGTGGTTAACAGGCAGAGCTGAGAGCATCAGTGAGGCTGAGCTGTTCATCTGCTCCCATCTAGGTGCCTGCTAGACCTCAGCATGAATGTAGGTGTTGGTGTGTGGTCATGGGTGGAGGCTTTAGCGCCATGCAAGGCAGGGCAGGCCGTCCCACACTGGTATAGCCCATGGAGCCTCTGCTTAAGTGGTGACAGGATAGGGTGTCATTCAGCCATCTCCATGTCAACTCCTGCACAACACCAGGCCCCTATGATTACTGCACCAAGGAAGTCTCCTATGTGTGAGTCCTATCTCCTGCAGAGGCACTACAGGGTTTGGCTCTGCCTGAGGGGTCAGGGCCAGCACCTTTAGCTGTGCTTGGTAAAGGTGGGAGAAGAGGAGGAGACGGAACCTGTGTGTTGATGGGTGAGCTGGCAGGCATTGTGGTTCCAGCAGCCATCACTGTGCTGGAACCACATTGTGGTTCTACAGCCTGACAGCAGTCAGGCTGTAGAAGGTGTCATTGTGATGAAAGGGATTCCTCAGGTGGGAAAAGGGATTATGATGAAAGGGATTCCTCAGGTGGGAAAAAATCAGGTTGTTCAGGTCCCCTATGACCTGGATGTAGGACTGGGAATTCCTAAGAGAGGGGATCCAGAAGAATCCAGAGGGGAGGGGGACCCTGCTGTGAAGACAAAGTGGAGTGTGGATGGAGATCGCCTGAAACAATGGGGACAGGCAACACTGAAGCACCTGTATCTTCTGTCTCACAGCCCTGTGACCTTTGGGCCTTTATAAGATTTGTCTGAACAGCCAAGGTCCACCTGTGCTGGAAATCAGGGATCTGTGCCTGAGTCATCATATGTTCTAGTCTGGAATTGGAGCTTGGTCAGCATCTGCATCTCACTTTGTGGGGATATGAGCCTCCAAGCTGCTCCAGCTGCTGCTCAGGTATGTCTATGAAGTTAATAAGAAGAAGGACCCTGCAGCTGGAGGGTTATCACTGACCTGTCCAGCTGGACGCTGCCCTGGTGGCTGAAGGCACACTTCATGGTGATGTCCAGGGTCATCAAGGAGATGTGCTCAGAGACCTCCAGAGGGGAATCCTGGCCGACCAGCTCCTCCCGTTTGTCCTGTGGTGGGAGGTGGCATGGACCCTCTTAATCCCCCAGAAGTCTTTTGGTAATAAGGCTCAGCCTTTCCCTTTATCTCCAGATATGGTGGTTGGGATCCCTCACTTTAGAGAGCAGATACATTATAGCAAATTAGAATAGTGCAGCAAATGCTTATAAAATGATATATTTCTCCCAGAAATGTTTACTACAAAATTAAATGTATGTTCCGATAAAATCTGATTTACATTTTGAATTTTGGGAATTGGTTATGACCTTTGGTTTGATGAGATTTTTTTTTCTGTATGGGATAAAGCCTTGGAGTACTCTTCATACATGTGTTTTCTAGGAGCTGAGCTGACCTGAGGAACTGGTTGAATATTAAATTAGGAAAATATGTGTCAGGCAAGGGACCAGTATGGGCTTCTAATGGAGGGACAACCAGGACTTCAAATGCTTTTAATTCAATAAACATTTGCTGGGGCACAATTGGGTGATAAATCAGTCCTGATAGGAGGGGAGGGGAAGGTAGATCTGGCTCTGAGAATGTAGACCTGGTGTCCATTTCACTCCATGGGTGGCTCAAATCCATGTGGAAGCCCTGAGCCCCAGGCCAGAGCCTGGTTGGGTGACATCCTAGCCTGTCTACCCCGCCAGTGAAGCAGCCATTGCACAGAGCAGCCAGGAGCAGGGCGTCCTGATGTTCAGGGGATTGACCACTCCTCCAGTCCACTGTGCTGAAGGTTTCAAAGTGGGAAGAGAGGGGTCTTTTACACATCATGACTCTCATTTCCTGTGATGTTGAGCAAAGTGTGGATCCGACTGGATGCCTGGGTGCTCTGCTATCCACTTGTGGAACTCTACTATCAGAGTAAACACCTGAAAGTGTTATTGCATGGGGCTGTGTCTATGGCTGTCTGTGGGACATAGGATTGAGAGTGGAATTGGTGAGAGTGTGTGCTGTACTGTGTGTGGAGAGGAGAAAGACACGGACTTACCAGCATCACTTGCATGGAGTCTGCCATGAGCCCCACGTAGGGCTTCAGAGTGTCATAGTGGAAGGCTGGGGTCAGCATCTGCCGGTGCTGAAACCATGTCTGCCAGAGACGGGTGTGGGTATATGTGTGTGTGTGTGTGTGTGTGTGTGTGTGTGATGGGATCAGTGGGACAACTGGGGACAGTTTGGAGGTACATAAGGTGGCTCCTTGGGGGAGAAAACCAGAAGATGGCACATCATGGCCAAAGGCAGGAAAGGCGGGTGCATTCAGGCATGGGAATTTGATTATTGGGCTGGTACTTCCCTGTAATTATGATAGCCAATATTCATTTTATTTTATCTAAATAAC